GAAGTAGCTGGCACCCACTTGGTTTTAGGTGCTGTGCTAGGTATTCGGACCTGATAGGAACAAGAAAGGTAAGGTCTCAGCTATTCTGCAGCTTATGCTTTAGCAAGGAAAGAGACAACTTCATGAAAACAATGAGTGCTCAGAGGAATATAAAACCAGGCAATATGCGAGGAGATGTTTTTGGGAGGGACAGTAGAGTTGAGCTTATGGGGTCATAAGTGAAGAACTCTTGTGGGGGTGGGAAGGAGCGACATTTACTTTGAAAGCACATGGCCTGACAGAGTCAGTGTTGTGGGAGCAGGCTGGTGGGTGCAGGGAGCTTTTCAGACTAGGGGCCAGGTGCTAGGTATTCAGGTAAAGACCCCAAAGAGTATAATGAGGGGAGAGCAGAGTGGTAGAAAAAGATGTAAGTCTGTGCTTGCACAAAGTGACATGGGGAAAATGCCTGAAAGTAATACTTCCTATAAATATCTTATTGTAGCAAATCTTAAGAGCACTGCTTGTGAGTCATCACTGTAATTTGTTTACCACTCAGGAAAAGTTATGTGAATTCATCTTGATTTCAATGACATAAAAATGTGAAAATCTTAAAATGCAGAGATGCAGGAGTTGAGAGGATTCACCAGAGACAGAGTGGGGAGCAGAACAGGCAGATCAACAAAATAAACTGTTGCAGTGGGCAGTTCAGGAGAGGTCTACTGTGCCACATGGGTCACCTCCCTGTCTGGGGATCTAATTCATGCTACAGTGTCTACAATAGATTCATGGTGCTGTGCTTTAATCCATTGCAGCACTAGGGAGGGCCCTGTGACATATAAATTTAAATGACAGCTGAAATATAAAATTCACCTCTGTTGATCTAGAAAATACATAAATAGAAAAGACCATAGGAACTTAACAGTAGATAAGTACTGACTATACGTAGTAATATATACAGTTAATGCTATAGTAGTATACTTGATTTTGATAATTTTATTTTGAAAATTCATTAAAATTATTTAATCAAAATTATTACTGTATGTGCTTTGAAAATTCATATGGTAGAGTAGTCAACAGGCTACTCTGGCCTGTTCCTCAAAGCCATATTTAATCATTTTCATTCTCAGATGACTTCTTAGGCATATGTGTATTTCTAGGTACTATTTTTATGCTGCTGTTTCACAATTTCTAATATCTGACAGTCCCAGTAGACTTGATGTAGTAGATGAGGATTTTGGTCTCTTATCCCCTTCCCCCACCCTTATTTTTGACAGTGGTGTCACTGCTTTAATTCCTCTCCTGGTTACTTTTATCCCATTAAAAACTATGTATTAAACTCATTTGATATTCAGTCAACTATGACCACATCTCTTGGCTCCCAACTTGTAAAGATGAAGATATTCCTACGTCTGCCCCGATCTTGATCTCTTTCCCTCCCGGCTTCTGTCAGCTCTTCCTTCTCTGGTACACCTTTTATTTTCACATGGTCACAGGAGGTGATGTGTATGCCATCCGGTGGCCATAATTCAAGGTTTCCTGTTTTATTAATAGATTCATTCTAAAACTCAAATGCCAGTCAGCGGTGCGTTAACTATGCCTTCTTGCTGAACTCAGCCCTGGGCGCTTTTTCTCTGTCACACTGCAGTTCTGGCACACAAAGGAGAAAGGCGCCTTCCTGGAGCCCTGTCGAATGGACTCTCCCATCAATTGCCTGCATCATGCCACATTAGTTCACTTCATCTTTGGACTCTAGCAATGCAGAGTCCCTCTGTGTCTTATTAGCCCCAAAGTTTGCTTTCTTCTTGAGAGAATAATTATGTGCTCTCTTTCCCAGAGACTTTTTTGTATTGCTTGGGATCTGCTTCCATTTTCCGTAAGACCTTCTACTTAGAGCTCCTTGGTTGCCTGATCGCATTTGGAGTGATTACTTTCCAAGTCTCTGCACAAATGCTGCACTGAGATTTGTTTTCATCAGGCACTTGGGTTAATTCCAGTTTCCTGAGTCTCTTTCTAGCTTTTACCCTCATTTTGATGGACTGCATTTTCAGAAAGGGTACACTGGGGTAAGCTTTTCAGGGGTTTTTTGTATGTACGAATGTATTAAGACTTTTACCCTTCATTTATTTGCTAGTTTGGATAGCAATAGAATTCTGGGTTCAAAATCATTTTTCCTTAGAAGATGGGAGTTTTGCTTTGTTTTAAAATATCTATTGTTGATAAAACTGGTGATTTTTCTGATGGATGTCCCTTTGTTGAGGAGCATAACCCCTGCTCCCCACCAGAGTATTGTCTCTTTCAAAAAGAACTCACTTCTACTTAGCGCTAGAAATGTTTTCCTAAAACTTCTTAAGCCTGTTTGACTCTATTCATATAGATATATTTTTGCCTTTTGCCTTCTTGGTCATGAGTTTATTACCTGCTCTATGAAATAGTAAGTTCTTATTTACTCTATCTTTTCTAAAATTTGGTTGACTTGGGATGTCCTCTTGTTTTGGAATGTAAAAATATCAGTTACCTATGCTGTTGGTGACTTTATCATTTTTTTGTTATTAGATTTAGAAATATCGTGTTTGCTAAATTGTAGGTCATCTGTTGCCTCACACCTTGGTGTTACTGCTTTTAAAAATGCTTACTGGTAATATAGACTGTCAAACTTTGTATGAATTGCTACATAAGTTCCTCTTTTGAGGAGTTTTGGGAAGATTATAAATATTTTAAGGTTAATTTGGGCCCTTCAGTTTATGGCCTGTTTCTTTTCCACAAAGAAAGGTGCTTTCTCCAGAAACACCCACTGCACTGCCCTTTTCGTGGAATTTAAATGCATATTCTGATAAAGTGTCACCAAGTATTTATTTCCACTTGTTCACTCATATGGCACCTAGCTGGATATTCTGTTGTGGACAGTATTATCAAAAGTGTTGCCAGGATGACTCACAGTTAAGGAGAACTTGGCCTTGATTATGTCTGAGAAGCTCAGAATCCAGGCAGAGCCCCATCCTCCTCTGCCTCCTGTTGTGAAGAGGGCTACAGGCAGGGTCCCCTGCAACTGCAATGTTTCCCTTCTCATTATCTGACAGGAAGATAAGTCCCGTGTGCATTGAAGAAGGGCCAGGTAGCTGAGGGACTTTCTCCCCAAATCCTCAGCAAAGTTGGCTTCTATCAACTTTGTACTTTAAGACAAGCTTAATTACCCCTAGCAGTTAAGCCAAGTGTATCTCAAGGTGAGTGGAGCACAGGCATCAAAAGAATAAATAGGTTTTCTTTGTAAGAGTGAATTACCAAGTAATCTTAGGTATTTTCAGCAGTCACGACTGGAAAAGCTTTCCTAAAATCTCATTTGTCCAGTGAAAACAAATGTGTGATATCATTTTTTAAAATTGATGGTAAAATAAGTAAATATAGACTGCGACTTGGCATTCATTACACACATTAATTTTGGTGAGAATGCTGAGCTGTCTTGGCTTATGAAGCTCCCTCACTTAGTGACCCCAGAGGGTGGTGTTAAGTGTGTTAAGTGTGGGAGGTGCTGGGGACTGTGTCCTGGTTACCAAGACTCACTGTGAAGCGGAGCGGAGCTTCCTTACAGGCGCTGACAGCCCAGTCCAATTGCAATCCGTAGTCCTTGTCAACTCCTGCTGTGTAA